TCTCTGCCCCTCCCATGCTCATGCTCTGTCTCTCAATAAGTAAACATTAAAAAAAAATTTTTTTTTAAAGAAAGAAAATGTTGACAGGTGCATTTTCTACACCAAACATAAAATAGCACAACACTGAACTTAACGTGTCCCTCGGCAGCATCCTAAATAGGTTCCGGCCAACTTGCCCCCCTGTGGAGGCACCGAGAGGTGGTATGGGCAAGAATTCGGGTCAACAAAGACTCATCACCTCCTTCCCAACAAGACATTTTCATTACACCGAGCTGATCTCCTCCACCACCCCAAGCTCCCTCTGCTCAGTCCTACCACGGATCCTCTGTGGCTTTGGTCCTTCCTGACCAATCACTATGGCTTGGATTGTCCTCCCCTCTCATCTGGACCCATCCACAGCCTACATGTCTCAAGCCCTACCTCCTCCACGAAGCCACTTCCAACCTCTCCAGCCACAGCACACTCTCTGTCCGCTGACAATCTGCTATGTATTTTTATGTTTTATCATCTACGACTTTACGGCGTCAGTTGTCAGTTTCATCTCCGGCTGTTAGCTCTGCCCCGGACTCCAAATCAATAATGACAGCTACCTGCTGGAAATCTTCAAAACGATGACTCTCTGGTGCCTCCACTCAACATGTCCAAAGCAACTCATCATCTTCAGTGAGATCTCCCCGTCACTAGACTATAAACATGAGGACAAAACTCATGTCTTAGGTTTCTCTGCCTCACCAGTGCCGGGACAGAGCCTGATATCCCAGTCATGGCAAAGAAACCTTTGCTGGCTGGCTGGGTGCATGATGCCACATGCCCTTAAGGAGCTCACCCTCAAGCTGGACCTCTAGACTTGGAATTATCTTCACCTCCTCCCTTCTGCTCATCACAAATCATCAGCAAATTTTCCTGATTGTTTTTTAACAGTATCTACTGCATCCGCCCACTTTTTCCGCTCCACTATCACAAAAGCAGCCCGCACGGCTCTCTGGATTGCCAAGATCTCAGCAAGAGTCTCTACTGGCTTCCCCACATCCTCGTTGGTTACCCCTACCACTTCTCTGCCATCCAGCCCCCACGTGACCACTAGAAACAGCTTTCGAAACCACATACTGTCCCCTACTATCCCCTGCTTTGTGTTGACACCCTTCTTCATATAGCTCCAGCCGAAGCCCCACTCCTCTTTACGTGCCTTACCCTCAACCCAAATCACCCTACCACCCACTCCACACCTTCCTACCTCCATGCTTTAACTTACTAATGCCCTCTAACCATCTACCTGTCAGAAGCGTCTTTTCATCCTTCAAGGCCCGATTCAAGTGCTTCCCCCTCCCGCCGAGGTTATTGTTCATAGAATCTTTTTTTTTTTTTTTTGCCTGCACCAATAGCATCTTGTCTAGACTTAGAGCTTTGTCTGCGTTACTTATCCTGTGCTACCCTGTTACAGTTGTCTATGTACACACCTATCTTGACCACTAGACTGTAAGGTCATTAGAGGCAGGGTCCCCGAGGACAGACTAATATAGCCCCACCACCACTACTACCAAGTATCTAACTGATGCTCAGTGAACAAGCTGAACAGAATATAATGACCTGCCCCACGGTATCCATTCATTTTACAGATACTTAGAGAGCCTAAACAAAACAGAACATCTCTGCCCTCATGGTGCTTACATTCTCATGGGAATATACAGATGGTAAGTGAAGTAAATAAGCACACGTACACTATGTTAGGTGGAGAGAAATGGTTAACAAAAAACAGAGCAGGGAAGGGGGAGAGGGGCAATGGGGATAGGGTTCAATTTTCTTGGGTGACCAGGGAAGGCCCTACTGCAAAGCGGACAAGTAAGCAGAGACCTGAAGGAGGTGAGGGAACCAGGCATGTAGACATCCAGGGAGCGTCCTAGGCAGAGGATCAGTAAGTGAGGTAGGTGCCCATTTGGCACAGGAAACCGGGAGCCAGTGTGGCTGAAGTGGAATGAGTGAGGGGGAGAAAGGTCAGAGAGGAGGTCAGAGGGGCAACGGGAAGCTGAATCCTGGAGGACCTTGTAGGCTAGTGAGATGACCTTGGCTTTTACTCTTTTTGAGATGGGGAGCCATTACCCAAGTTCCATTTTGAAAGAATCAGTCTGGCTGCTGAGTTTAAATTTGGTTTAATTTAAGTAGCAGGCTTCCTGGCCCCAGCTGTCCAGACCTATCCTTGATGGCTGGGTAAGACGCTTCAAAGGGTTACCTAGGTGCTCAAATCAGAGCCAGAGATTGCCACGTGAGTCCTTAACTGAGCTCCAAACCAAAGAGAGTATAGAAGAAACCTTAAGGGAAGGGTCCAAAGCCCAGAACAAACAGCCCAGGGCAGTCCACAATGCAGCAGCCAGACTGTGCTACAAGGCATCTCAGCGAGGGACATGATGACGAAGGCATGCTGTCTGTCCACTTCCGGTGTCCTTGCAACAATGCTTGGACAATGCCTTGGGGAATCCCCAGGCAAGGCGGCAAGACCTGTGGCTTTCAATCTGGGGGATGAAGACACTGAATCAACGAACAAAGCTAGAGTGAATCTGGAAAGATAGAGACCGTAACAACCAGACCAAAGCAACTGAAAGATGTAGCGAGGGGTAAAAATCAGCTGTGAGAACCATCAAAGCCAAGGAAATTCCAAGAAGGCCTGTGAAAATATTTCAGGGATCAACAGAAACATCTCAATTCCCAGTAATAAAAAAAAAAGCTAAGGGGCACCTGGTTGGCTCTGTCGGTAGAGCATGCAAGTCTTGACCTTGGGATTGTAAGTTCGCACCCAATGTTGGGTATAGACGTTACTCAAAAATAAAATCTTCTAAAAAATGCTAAGAAGTCTACACATACATATATAACTATAAATCTTTTAGTAAACATTTATTCCATTAAGGGAGGTGCCCCCTGCCTTAAACCAACACACGACACAGGAAAGCGTGCAAACCAAACTTTCTCTTAAATGCGTTCGGGAAAAGCTCCTAAGAGGGGTTATCTGGGGGAGGATGCAAAGGAGAGAGGAATTTGTATCGCTTATATTATACATCTTTGTAATTTTTTAGTTTATTTACGATAAGCCTATGATTATATTAGCCGATAGTATTAATTTTGAGTCACTAAAAAAGCAATGAAGACGTCTACAAAAGAAAAAGCGCACTGAGCAGCTAACCACTCAAAGGAGCCCTTGGGTAAATATTTTGGGGAAGTGAAGAGATATAACAATGTGAATAACCGAACACTACTTTATCTGTATTGTGACATATTTTTATATATCAGGGTTTTTTTTTTGGTGATATAGGCAGGGCCTCCTTGCTTAAATAACAAAAGGCAAGGAAGTGACCTAAGAAAGTTCTAGAAAGACTACTGAAGAATTCTTAGATTTCATTCTCCCGATATTATTACAAAAGAGGATAAGCAGTTAGCAGTACGTAAGAGTTAAGGGCAATTTTGTTCAGAATCAAAGCAGCCAGACGGCTTCCTGCAGCCCTATGATTGTTATTTCTCGAACACATGTCTGAGGCATTTAGACTTAGGTCTGCTTAAAGAGCTTAGGGCTAAAAAAAGGAAGTTAGCACATGGCCTCTCTTATTATTCTTTTCTACCATGGTGATTCTTACAGTGGCAGGAAGGGGACATAGTTAAGGTGGAACAGTTGTCTGAGCTTTGAATTCTTTAGCTTTTTTAGGTTTTTGCTGTCTTGATGTAATCGAAATGCAACTTCGTTTCAAAATATCTAATCACCGATTTTTCCCAGTTCCCTCCTACCCTAATTGTCGGCTTATAAATGCAAATACAAACATTTTCTGTTGACCAATTAAAACTACAAGATTGTCAGTAGAGGGGCGCCTGGATGGCTCAGTCGGTTAAGCGTCCTACTTCGGCTCCAGTCATGATCTCATGGTTTGTGAGTTCGAGCCC